CTCCTCGTGGATGTCACCAGATCCGCAGGAATTTTATGCACTTGGATCGTGCTTTTCACGAAACGAAATGCGCACTTTTACGCACTTAGATCGTACTTTTCACGAAATGAAATCGAGAATTTAAGGGGAAGGAGCACTCCGCTAATAAGGTAATCGCGCTGAGAAAAATCTCGTTTATCCAGTACGAGTCAATGCGAGATACGCAAGTTAACAGACATCCGCCAATTAGACCCGCACGGTCTGACACCTCAGTGGAAACTGAGGAGAGTTCGGACGTAGAAAATGCGCGCGCGGAACCCCCGTGCGGGCTCTTTCGTGCCCGGGAGTCCGACACGCCCCGGACCGCCCTACGATTCCCCCTCTTATCATTGTTGAATCACGGGCTTTTCCATCGTCCATATCCAGCTAACCTGGCTGAATGCAGCCTGCGAAGGTAGATAGGTAGTTAGCAATAGTGAAAGCCGGCTCGCGATTTGTTAATTTTCGAGTCAGTTTGTAAAAAGCTGCGTTTCCACGCGCTGTGAATAATGTAACTTGCATTCAGCTTTGTTCCTCTGACCTTCTGTAAATCACAAAAGATGTCCCAAAATATGTTAAGAAAGACTGAAAATTTGTATTGCTGAGACCATCGTGCATAAATTGCCGTAAACGTAAACTTAAGCGAGAATAATGCTGATTGATTTTCCAACTCAAGATTACGTTCACGGTTCTGACAATTGGTGTGCTACTTTGGAAGCTTCTATTTTGCTAAGTTTCTTAATTTGTTCTCTTTCTTTTTTATCCAGATTCTTGCTGACCTGTTTCAATCCAACCGATCGACGCCGTACCCATTTCTGCTACATTTCGTAGCGCGTTGCAGACTCGCACGAATTTACATCCTATGACAGTGTATAAGATACATTACGTTGGTATAATATAGCGAGACCGGCAAATCTCCATGGAGCCCTTCATGGATACAATATCTGGCAAGTACGTGCCGCAAACGGAGAGAAGGAAAAAAGGGAGTGTGCCCATTTTGAGGTACTGCCGGATGCTGCCTCTGCTTAGGCTTAGGTATAACACTCCCTCCGTTGTATCCCCTCGAGGAAAGAGGTCTTTATCGTCTCTCGAGTGGCGGAGCTCGTTCATTCGGGGACATTATTGTCCAAGATTACGATCGACAACCTTCCGTAAACGCGACTCACGTTACCGTTCATGGATACCCCATTTATCCTTTTTCTCGCTTTTCATCCTGCGGCACGTGGACAGGAACACCAACGTTCCTCGGTTTTGCCGTTAATCCCGTCATTGATTTTTTGCATTAGTAATAACATTATAATGAGAAACTTAACGGAAAAATGTTTCCGCGTTTTTTCCTCGCTACATAGAGAGAATTTTATAGTAAAAATTACTATAGAATTTTTCGCATCTGTGAAACATCGACAATTCGTTCATTTTGTGTATTATTTTAGGAACTAAAATGTTCTATTAAAAGTTTGTTATATTTCAAGAGAAATTTACTATATTCCTTAAGACTTTACTGACAGTCCATTTTTACATTATTGAAGAAACATAGTAAAATCGAAGAGAACTTGAACTATGAAAAAGAACTATGGTATTTTCTCCATTTAGAAATTATTTGTCATCATTCAATCAATTATTTTCTTTATTATCTTTACAAAACATAAAGTATCGTTATAAGTTTTCTATTCAACATTTCTCTAATGTTTTTCATTGTTTTAGTGATACATCAGCAAACATGTGAAAGATCGTATTCTCTCCGAGGAAAACGTTTTCCATTGACTGTTTTTCGAAAGCGAAACGAAAAATGGATACGTCATTAGTTTCTTCGCATAAATAGCAAGCGTAGCGAACGGGATTTCACGCTCGTGCCTCGTCAAGAGAAACAAATCTCCGCCTCTTGTCGCGCGTCATTGGTCCAGCAACTTCGCCAATCGCGATGTCGTACCTCGACGAACGAAGGGAGAAATGCACACGAATGCACGCACGCACACACGCGTGCTCGTGCGCTCGCTCGTACGCTGTGCGTGCGACCGTCCGTCGTGCGTGCGTATGGCACGTCGTCAACTGTGTGTGCGAACGTATGTCGTTTGTCAGACAAGAAAGGCGAAAAGCACGAAGCGACGTGAATCGTCTCGCTATGCCGGCTGACATGAAGAGATTAGGCCTGTTCTCTTCCAAAGAGATTCCCAAATTAGCATACACTGGTGTCCATAAGTTAAAGTGATACAAGTATATGTTTGTTTCACTCTAACTTATCACAACAGTATACACCAGTTCAGAAGGGGCTTCGAAAAAGAACAGATCTAATAATATATATCCAAATATCACAGAGAATTCAAAAAGAATTCAATCGTATGTCACCAATTCTGAGTTCATTTTCAGATGCAAAAAGAATTCTTCAAAGTTCAGTGAAAAGAATCCTTTTTGCATCTAAAAATAAACTCAGAATTGCTGACATACGACTCAATTCTTTTTCAATTATCTATATTATCTGCATATTCAGCAAAGAAAACTGCTTCGTTTCTGTAAAAACTTTGTAAGCTGCTTTATAAAATTCGCGAATCTGATCGATGTATATTTTTAATGTTTGCTAACATCTATCGATCAGATTGACAAATTTTACAACAGTTGCAAAGCAGCTTTCTCTGCTGAATGCTCTTCAATCAATAGTTCGTTGTCTGTTTACTTTGTGCATGCATTTAAATGCACTCGTGAGATATGCAACATGCGTGAAATCACGCAATCTTATCTCGAGCTCTCGATTTATATAGAGATATTTTTCACAGAAATATTAACCAGGACGGCAATATGCAAATAAAGTCCGTGCTCTGTTTGCATGTCGAGGAACGACGGCGAGGGCGAAATCGATATCGCGACGCCAGAGTCTGTTGCCAGAGAAACTCAGCGCTTGTACGCTATACAGCGTAAATACTCGTGAAGATCGCGATTGAGTACGTAGGATGTCGAGACGAGAAGGATTACTCGAGGATGAACCGTCCTGGCGGCGCAGAGCGTATGAACGCCATCGTTCCAGAGTGAGTACTCATACTTTTAACAATTAGTAGACTTGCGGCCTTATTTTCGAAAAATATAATACATTATACTTCCATGAAAAGCTGTAGTTCATATAACGTATATCATAGCTGTTAAGTAGAATATTGTTCGAGGTCGAAAGTAGAATCAAAATTTCAACTCAGAAAATATAGAATAATTCAAGTATATTCAGATATGCCAAAGCAAAAGTGACTCCAAATTAACTGAATTAATCCTATCATGTAGGTGCGTATAAATCGCAGCCATTGTATTTCGCGTTATATCAGAGAGCTTTGACAATATCGCAGTTGTACGATCTTATTGTATTTCATTGTTTTTTTTCTTTTCATAATTTTGCAGGTAAAAACTGCCAAACCGACAGTGGACGTGAACCCGCCAGAGGGCAGACCTCATGTCTTTTTCAACGCGAAGAAGTCACAATTAGAGCGCGAACGACAGGCGCGAATCCTACGTGACAATTTTATTTTGCTGAAGAAACTCCGCGAGATTATGCATCGAAAACGGCAACGCGTCGCGGTGGACACGCAGCGTGTCCAGTGGCAGGAGTCCAGATGCGTGAGGACTCGCTAGAGAAGAGAAACCTCGACAGGATGTTTTTGTATTCCCAACCACACACGTCTCTATTTGTATCTCTTTGTAACGCCAAAATAGCGTAACTTACACTTTTTCCATATCTACTCGCAATCTCCTTAACTGTAAGCGACACGCCTCTCTCCTTCAGAAAGATTCGTCTACGCTGTCGTCGAGTCTATTTTTAATACATACTTTTTCATTAATATACATAAAATTGTAGTTGAAGATACAAAAATCTACCCTTTTCTCTCATTGTCGCTATTTCTATAGAGGATTATATCCTATTCTCAGAGATTTTTATACTGTTTCGTTTGCTTTTTTTAATTGAACTATCTGAACTGGTATACATTGGTGCAATAAGTTAAAGACAAATATATTTATTTCAATCTGACTTATGGCAAATGTGGTTGAGGTTTTAAATTACCGGAAGCCATATATTGAAGGAAGGAAGGAATCTAACTTATTGCACACATACACACACCAATTCAGGCAGTTCAGCTAAAAAAAAAACAAATCTTTTAACATTTTTAGTCTGTTTTTTTTTAGCTGTACTACTGAAAAGAACAGACCACTTCTTGAGCAATGAACAGTCATAATGTATAACTCTATAGATACGACGCATGTGATTAAAATATGCAGATGGCACTACTCCTGGTGAATATCAGGGCTATATTATTCAGGGTTTACACTGCATTCGACTACAAAACTATCCAATAGGAAAGTTTGTTTTTTAGAGTTTTTAGCTACCAACATTTTTGTCTGCAGATAACAACTGCGTAACATTTCCTTACATGCAAAAACTTGAAAATTTTTATGTGAATACGAAATCCTTAGATACAATATAACTTTTTGAATTATGGAAATTATGAAACTTTTCACATTCTCACTTTTAGAGGAAAGTTTACATAGAAATACTGTGATATCGTCACTTTATAGAAGAAGTTTTTTATTGAATGTATATATATAATATATACATAATGATGAATGTATATATATAGTATATAATGTATATATACATGGAGCCTATTATGGTTCTGTGTGAGAAGTGAAAATGCGAAAAGTGAACAAATTCACTTCAGCCTTAAGGCTGGTTTGGCCGTAATCCGTTAACTTATGCCGGAACCGTAAAGAATGGATCAGTCACAGTCGATTATTCTTCTATGATAATTTAACTATGATTGGTCAATTTTTTACGGTTCCGACATAAATTAACGGATTATGACCATCATAAATCATGCAGGATTTACACCGCGTCCGATGTCCGACGTCCGATATCCAATAGAAGAACAGTTTTCCAATGGAGAATTGAATTCTCTATTAGAAAACTGTTCTCCTATTGGATATCGGACATCGGACGCGTGTGAATTCTCCATAAGGCTGATATTACATATGTCGTATGACAAGCTTATTGGTCGCTCTAATTGGCTATTGGATAGTGAATTTCTGGGATACTTGGAAAAAAGTTAAGGATTTTAGGAGAATTCTATCAGCCAATCGACACATCCGACAATACTTATCGTATGACGCATGTAATATTAGCCTTATGGAGAATTCACACCGCGTCCGACAGGAGAACAGCTTTTTAATAGAGAATTCAATTCTCCATTGGAAAGCTGTTCTCCTATTGGATATTGGACGTCGTACGTCGGACATCGGACATCGGACGCGGTGTGAATCCTCCATTAGACAACAGTTGCTTTGCAACTGTGTAAAGTTTGTAAATCTGATTGATGTTAAACTTAACTGAATCCAAGAACATATGTACCAATTAAATTTACGAAATCTACAGCAGTTGCACAATAATTTTCTCTGTTGAATGCAACCAATATCACTTATTCTAAACCCTCTTTTATCGATAAAAGTATCCCTAAAGTTCGTATTCACAATCAGATCTTATATTTAAGACAAGTTTATCTTCAGATCAGATACTCTATGGCCAATGAAATAATTCGTACAGCATCTGAAGATGAACTTAAGAGCCAACGCACAAGCACATCCGTTACGTTACGTCACGTTAAGTACTGACAATACAATGACCATACCTGTACGTAAAGTTAAACTTAAGTCAACGCATAAAGAAATCCGTAAACTTAACATGTTACGGATATTCTTGTGCGGAGGCTCTAAGGCGATCTTAAATATAAGATCTGACTATAAATACTGGCCTAAGGCTTATAGGCCGGTATTCATAGTCCGATTTTATATTTAAGATCATCTTAAGTACTGTCTTAAGATATCATGAACCAATCACAGAGCTGTATTCACATCTTAAGACATTACTTAAGACGGTTTTAAATATAAGATCCTACTATGAATACCGGCCATAAACTTTTTGATTAGCTTTTAGGCCGATATTCATTGTCGGATTTTATATTTAAGACCGCTTAAGTTTATCTTCAGATGATGTACGGGTTATTTCATTGGCTACGGAGTATCTAAAGATGAACTTAAGCAATTTTAAATATAAGATCTGACTATGAATACCGGCCTTCGTTGCATTTAGGGAGGTATAATCGAATCTTATTTCAAGACCGTCTTAAGTAATGTCTTAAGATGCAAATACGGCTCTGTGATTGGTTCATGACATCTTAAGACAGTACTTAAGATGATCTTAAATATAAGATCGGACTATAAATACCGTTCATAAAGACATTTTTATTGATAAAAGAGAGTTTTGAGTAAGGGCCGTTGCATATGTGAGATTGAAAATTTCTAGGGATACCGCGTCTAGTAAGTATCTAGAGAGCAGCACTGTGCGCGAGTATCGAGCGGGCGATGTGAATTTCCTATAAGGCGTGCACGCGTGATTCTCGGACCAATGAGCGATTGCCAGATACACGAATCCGCGATGCTCTAATGCGAGTACACGTAATGCGCGATGTTATTTGGACGAGCGATATCACATGACGTTTGGCTGTGGCGATAATACAGTGTCGGTGGTGCGCGATATCCCAGTGAGACGATACGTGAATTCGCTTAAAGGACAACAGTGGTACAGTGGGAGTCTCACGAGAATTTCTCGCAAGGCGAATTCAGGCAGAGGTGAAGAAGGGTGTAGCAGGCTCGATATCGACATCGCCGCCTCACAAGAACAAGCACGGGGCTACGAGGAGGACGACACTACGAGGACGGGGGAGCGGATATTGTCAATCGCTGTTGCGCACTTCGTCAACAGAGCTGACTCGGTCGCAGACTGACAAGCTGACGTCCTCCTCTCCTTACGAGGATGGCAAACGCCGCGGTTAATCTAGTCATAAAGGCGCCGAATCAGCAAATCAAGGACCAAGTGGTCAAATGCAATCTCGGCTGGACCATCGGTCGTCTGAAGGAGTACCTGTCGGAAGTTTATCCCAGCAAACCGGTAAGTCGCGTGAAAGTGCTCGCGTCTCTCTTCTCTCGGGTGAAAGCGCCGCGCGTTTCTCCTTTGCATACATCTTCAATTGTTTTATTTATACGCTTTGCCGATGGCCAAGCGCGAAGGAATCCTCGAAGAGATAGTTTCGTTGCGTCAGACGGTAATAAGCTGACTGTTGAGTCGCTTCCGGATAATGTTTAAACATGCACACAATGGCATCATAATTGAGTTAAAAATAGAAGAAGCTCTTAATGATGTTACATCATAGTATATATGATGAAACTTTTTAAGGGACTGAGTTATTCAAATAAACTTAACATTCAAAACACAATGTTGCTGATTTGTTTGTGTTTTGATAGCAATAAGAGATATGATGTGCTAACATACTCATGTTGCTGAGGTTTAGCTTGTGTTATGTACTATATATATATGTACTATATATGTGTGTATATATATATATATATATATATATATATATATATATATATATATATATATTTTATATATGTATATATTGGTGACTACAGTTTTTTTATGAAAAGTTTTTCATTAGTTTGTCCTGACAAATATTTGTTTATCAGAAATATTTATCAGAAATTTTCAATATCTTATTCAATTTTATTATTATTATCTTTATTATGCTACATTTGCTATTATGCACTATTTTTATATATTTATAATATACTACTGAATTTTGAAAATTTTTCAAAAATAACAATGTAAGTTCTTGCATTTGTAGGAATGTTCACACCAGAAATTAATATATTCTGGGCAATTGTTGAGTGACTCAGCACAGTTAAAGGACGTTCTGAGACAATGCAACGACTCAAAGGATCAAGCGTATACAGTTCATTTAGTTTGTACACCACAAAGTACATGGACCGGTAAAGTTACATCAGATCAAACAGGAACCAGTGAGAATGTTGATGTGACAAGCAACGTTCATATGAGAACTAACATTGCTCAAAATCAAAGCCACGAAAACACTAACGTTACCACACAACCTCAACAGATGTATTCGCCGCAGCAATACTTTGACCCTCAAAATAGCCAACAGTTAGCTTGGATGCAAGCGTACACGCATTATTTTACACAATACATGCAGCTGTAAGTGTATTTTCTCTCTCCTCTCTCTTTGTAGAGTCAACATGTATAACAGGTGCGATTATAAGTTCTGTTATCTTATCATTTTTCACAGCATGACTGCACAAGGCATCCAACTACAAGCAAGTGTTCCGTATCTGCAGCAGATGAATATTAACACGAACGATATGACTCAAAACACATACACGGCGAACAGTAATAATAACAACAACGTCGGTGACGAACAGGCCCAAGCGGTAGCGCAAGACGCGGCTGATATCAATGCAGGAAATATAGGGGAAGACGCTGCGTTCAATCGCGATTGGTTGGATTTCTTCTACATGTTGTCCAGGATTATCGTTCTGTTTGGCATTGTATATTTCTACTCGTCCCCTCTCAGGTTCCTCATCGTCACGTTTTTAGGATTTGTGATATATCTGTAAGTACACCTGCAATTCGCTAAAACACAAATTAAACACAAAATTTCTCTACCATTTTGCAAAGAACCGCGTGAAATTTTAAGCCTAATCTGCATGAAGGTTTTATATATTACCATCAGACCCCCTGTATATTTCATATGTACTTTTCTTTTGCATCTTATCTACTGCCTCCGATGCGCTTACTAGTTCAGGTGTTTTAACTAATAATTCAATGACTATTGCAATTTCCGAGAAATGGCACATGACTTTTCTTCATTTTGACTTCTTCTATCCTCTCTTTTTATCACATTCGTTACTTTTGAGATACCTTGTAGTGTGTGTGTGTGTGTGTGTGTGTGTGTGTGTGTGTGTAACTTATACAACTTTTTTACACATTAGTACTTGCCAAAAGAAAATCATGTAGTAGACGTTATAATCCTACCATATTTTTATATACTATTCTCTGACATTTTTCTAAATGTTTCCAATTGATTGTGAAATGTAACGCATACTGTGTATCTGTTACAGATATCAAGGCGGATTCTTCAGGGAGCGAGCGATTTTACTAGCCGAGAACAACAACGGCCGCGCAGACAACAATAATCAGGTATTACATAATGAAGTGGTGGGACCGCAAGCAGTGCCGCAGCAACAAAACGCTCAAGTGCCAACTGTGCAGCAGCCAGAACCACGGACAAACGCTAACGAGAACGAAGAGCAAAGACCAGGCGCCCTCGCCTTCACCTGGACCTTCTTCAGTTCGTTCTTCGCCTCGCTTATTCCGGACCAGCCAAACGTCATTTAATCCCGTCTGAAGCTCTTATAAAAAAAGTCGTAAAGGCTTTCTTTTACTTCGCACTTTACCGAAACGTGATATAAGAAATTCTAGAGATATTAGACGGTCTGTAGAGTCATAAGCGCTTAACTCATGACGAATTTCATACACACACTCCACGAAAGTCTGATCAGTTTTACGAAATACGATTTTTGTAACTAAATCTAATATATATATATATATATACATATATATATATATGAATGTTGATATACGTGTATTAGTAATCAACGTCAAACGCTTAAGATGAGGAACTATTATCACGAGAAAACATTTTCAATGAATACATGTACAGATTATATGCAGGATGTGTCATTATAGTCGTGAAATATTTTGGCAGTATATTCGAAAGATTGATCAGAAAACTCAATATGGAAATCTTACAATGACTAAAATTGAAATCTATAACCGTGCGTAAAACGTGCATATAAATCACGCGTTTTTCATTATTTAACTATTGGCGAGTACGAGCCTGAGTATTCAAATTGTGTGCAATACAATGATTGCAATGCAATGATTACTCGTGCAATAACAATTATTACTTTGCTCGTATCTCGGAGATTAATGTTATTACGATATTTCCATATTAGAATGTTTAACTTTAATTAAATATTTTATTTTGTGATTAATGTAACTCCCGAGAATATACTAATTAAAATATTTCATCGTAGTTACTGAGGCATTCTGTATGTTTCCATGTCGCGTACATACGCGTCTAAGAAAAGCGAAATATATACAACTTACAGTTTACAAAACAAAATAATGATCATGTTATATTTGTAGTTATTAAACCTAACTTTTCTTCAAAAGAAGATTGTTAGAATCATCATCCCAAAGCTGTTAGGGTTTATTGTATAAAGAAAATTTTTTATGTTTTTGTAGTAATATATATATATATATAAATATACAACGAGATATAATATATGGTGTATATATACACACACACACAACACACGCATATAAATGTAAGAGACATATAATTCTCGTAGAGCTTGTATCATATAAGACGACGATAATGATGAAATAGGCGCTTAAAGATTTTCTTCAAGGAAATTGCTATGGCAATACTGTTATTACGCGAAGATTATTTCTGTGATGTTTAATACGGTTGAATATATTTAGCGTGATAGCCTTGTAAAATATTATCGCGCTTCGTTCATATGTATTACTATTATCGATAAAAATAATATATTCAAGGCGGAGGTATTAGTAGTGAAACTGTTAAAAATTTCCGTAATTTTCCTAAATAGTCGCGTCGAACGCCGACGAAGATGAGGGTGTATGTAAAGCGAATAAAACGGTTTTTGAAGTCTGTCGTTTAATTACGATATTTATTTCAATTAACTGATTACTGATTAAATGCTTTTGTTTTGTAACTACGTCGATTAATATTAAGGCGAGTAAAAGCTGTTGAAACGAAATAACACGTGACTGTGTGATTAATATCAATTATCAAAGAGTGGGTACCTCATTCATAAGCAAGGCGTATAGGAGATCGATAAACGATTACGAAATTTTCGAATATATTCAGATAATGTTTAAAAATATTATAATTGTAGTTTTTATAGAAAGAAATATAATAGATAAACTTATAGACAAAAAATTCTGAAGACACTTTTATTTTCTTTTTCTTACGAATTTGATATTTTGAAAACGCACTCTGCGATACGCATGCGCGAGGAGATCCCTGTGAGCAACACTACTGTTCATAACTCGCGATGTAGCGAGCAACTCTGGCACTTGAGCAAAAATGTTACGTTCCGTTGCGCTTGCTCGTAAGTTTATTGTTGTAAATTACGTTATCAGTTGTTATTAGAAATGCATTCTCGCGTCCTGTTAGACTGTCAAGTGCGACGGTATATATTTTATCTTGTATTGGATAAGAAATATGCATCTGGTTCGTGATGGATCGATAATGCCGCAGTAAACTTCATTCTGCATGTTCTCTTCTCTTTAACGTCGTGGGATTGCATAATATTACGTCTTAATATGCGCTGCGAACGTTAATACACATTTGTTCGTTGCGTAGTTATAGTATGACACGAGTTACAACATCAAAGTGCTCTCATAACCTCACAATCATGAAAGTTTTGATATTTATCACGTAAACATGCAGTGATATTTCGTTTTTCTCTTTTTTAGGCAACGTCCCCCAGGGATTACTATCCCTGGTGTGCAACAATGTGGCAGCTACAGGATATGCTGCTGCTGCTGTCAAAACTCAGGTGAAACACATGGCCACGGAGTCATCTGTGCAGGAGTCGAAGACTCCATTGCCACAGAAAGCCAAGGTTGAACCCTACAGCCCTTTCCAGAATACCAATAATCTGGCGGAATATGCTGTAGCTAGATTGGATGATTTGTTGAATTGGGGACGCAAAGGATCACTGTGGCCGATGACTTTTGGTTTAGCCTGCTGCGCTGTGGAAATGATGCACATTGCAGCACCCAGATATGATATGGACAGATTTGGCGTTGTGTTTCGTGCCTCTCCTCGTCAGTCAGATTGTATCATAGTTGCTGGAACATTGACAAACAAAATGGCACCTGCTTTAAGGAAGATCTACGATCAGATGCCTGAACCACGATGGGTCATCTCAATGGGAAGCTGCGCGAATGGAGGTGGATATTATCACTATAGCTACTCCGTAGTCAGAGGCTGTGACAGAATTATACCTGTGGACATTTACGTACCTGGTAAATCTTGTTTCTATTTTTATTCTGCAGTTATTGTGTTCGTTGTGCTAATAGCTTGATGTTACAGGTTGTCCCCCAACGGCTGAAGCATTGTTGTATGGTGTTCTTCAATTACAGAAGAAGATCAAACGAATGCAACATGCGCAGGTGTGGTACAGAAATTAATATGTAGTATCTAACATATCTAGCAAATTATGTATAGATCATTTAAGAATTATAAGCTAATTGAGATAATTAAGTGATAGAGACATTATATAGAACATCTGAGAATGTGGTTGAAAACCAACAAAATAAATCACATTTGAAAGAATAAACTTTGTTATCACCATATTCATTTGCTTTTGGCATATTTGACAATACTTGAAAAAAAAGTAGAAAGATACAAAAATATTACTTTATAGTGTTATATCCTTTGTTGTGTTGCAAGAAATCAGACATCGAAATTTACTAAGAAAATTTATTAAAATACTTTTTTATACAACATGAAAATAATATTAGGGGCTTGCAAAATTTCGTTCAAATTTCAGATTATTGAAGAAATATTAGTTCAAAATACAAGTCATTTTACATTTATGCATAATCAGATAATTATTTGAAAAATTCGACAAACTTTTGCAATCCCTTAATAGGAAAATACAATGTTAAAATTCCAATAAGTTCTCTCTTCTTTTGAACATTATTAATGCAGAGAACAAGGAATACACGCTTTCGATATAAATTATCACGATAAATATATTGTGTCAAAAAATTTTATTAATTTTCACATCTTTTTTATTAAATAAATATTCACAACTAGACCACCTTGGACTTTTTTTTAAGGACTTTTTTAAATGACATAGTGCAATTACAAATGATATCAATAATCTGAACAGATCTAAACAATAGCATTGATATAGTATAATTTATATTGTACTGTAATTTATACTATAATTTTGTAGCAATTTTATTTTTCACTCTGTTAAAAGCAGAAAAAAAATGATAGAAGAAAAATTTCTAGTATCAAATTGACTTAACACAAATACTTAATTTATGAGGAAAGCAGAATACAAACGATAAAATTGTGTCATGTATTTACTTATAATTATACGAAAGAAAGGGGTCGAATATTTGTACAAAGCTATACTCTATTATATTTTCTATTTTCCCACTGTTCTCTTCTTACTTCTACAAGTATGTACAGAATATATTCAGAGTAACTTAAACATAGCAAAGAGTTTCATATGGAATTCTTTAGCCATTTTAAGTTACCAAGTTCTAAGGCCCCTTTCTTCTTTTTATTTATCACTATACTAATAATAATTACATTTTTATTATACTTATACAATACATACATTATTTTTTTAAATCAAAATACATGTACTGAAAAACATATCTTAAATGTACAATAGTTAAAAAATTTGTTTTAAGCGATCCGCAAAAATTTTTATACTTATCCTAACATCTTTTCACTACACCGTTTAATGAACATATTCTGCTTTCTTGTTATGTGTGTCCACAGCTAAATTATTAATATTTTACTTTGGTCATTTAAAAAAAGCATATAATAAAAAAATTACTCAAATCCTCTTGATAATCGGATAATTTATCAAATTTTTTTAGAAGCTGTAATTAATTCAGTTTTATTATACTTATCATGATTCAATATATACAAGTTTTAACTCAGAAACTTTCATGATCCATTTCCTTTTTACTTTATTCGTGATAAAACAAGGTCATTTTTTCCAGTCACGTCCCACAGTAATACGAAATTATAAATTTAAAGTAACATGAAAAGCAAAAGGCTAATACAACTTAAGAATTTAATATATGTTAAAATCTACTCATAATTCGAAAATACGCTGTTTTATACAGATAGTATAAGCAAGCGCGTATGCATTTCGATGTTGTACAACTAACAAATATTTATATCTCTTTAGTGCTTAAAAAGAAAAAAACAAAAATGCATGAATAATTTAATTTAAAATATATAAATTGAAATAAACAAAACATATATTAGAGCGATCTAAGTATATTTATAGTCAGTTCCTGTGCTGTGCAATATAATTCAAATATTGTAAATTATTATCAAAAGAAAGTTCTGTAGTTAAAAAGCTATAATTAATTGCAACATGTCCTCAGGAAAATCTTGCACACTGAACATATCTGGATATTGTCTGATCCATTGATTCAATATTTCTCAACATTATCAATAATCACTTGTTTAATATCCAACTGTGTGAAATTTTAAACTCAATATCACTTTAACAATAGGTATGTAATACAAATGTATATGGCTTCGACAAACATTCTTCGAACAATTTAAACTGACGTTTAAATATCTCTCATTAAATTATTACTCTCATTAGAGAATTGCTTGTGACGTAGATGGTGGTGGATTGCTCGGCAATGCGGGCACTGGACCTTCTGTCCATTGAATAAGCGAGTGTGCGCTCATTTGGGTGCTCTGAAAATGGTCCTTTAAGAGAGTTTGAGAAAATGTACAATGCATTTGATATGCCTCGTTTTCATGATTAGTATCACCGACGAGTCCGTATAAATCTGTAACATTAATCACGTACAATTAACTGAGAACATAAGATTATGTTCACGTATGCTTGTATGTATATACCTTTAAGAATGGCTGTAGCCCATAGTTGTACATGTACATCGGGTATTTTAGAAGCTAACTGCATCGCAGGTGTGACCATATTCATCGATTCCCTGCTATTTCCCAACGAAAGGAATATATGTCCAAGAAGCACGAGGCTACACGAAGTAAGTCTATTCAAGTCTTCCGAATTTGCCATCTTCAAGGTTTCCCTAAGGTATCGTCTAAAGATCATATTATAGATTAATATCGATGCGTACTGTTCCACTGTGTTAAGTCAGTTGGTTATTTTTTATTTCTATTCCTATATTTTCTTTTCAGGAAATTTAATTTGCATCGTTGTTGTCTACTTATTGGCTCTCTCACTTTAAAATAAAATATTTTCAAAAATCTTAATTATCATACATATTTGTTGAGAAATATAAAAATATAAGAAAACAAATACTTTTATAAAAGCACATACTTGGCTTCATTATATCTAGCACCAAAGAAGGCTTGGAGTCCTTGTACATAATATGCAGCTGCCCTTAAAGAATGAGAATTCGATGGTAGAGATTCTGGATTTATCCTTTCTAATAACGCCCCCAACTCGGCTTCCCTTTTTGTCCTGAGGTACACGATCGCTAGATTCAGGTTGGCGAATGTCCAGAGATCCCTTTCGTGTGACGTCTAAAAAAAGATAAAACAATTTCTTTTAATTTCTGTCATGCATACGGTATGTGTATCATCAATATAAGTTAAAATTATACTTTGAGAGAGTTTTCTCATATAAAATCTCGAAATTTGTTTCCATTTTCTTCAAGTTTTAGATTTTAAGAATATGTTCCTAGAATTTTTTGATGCAATTATAGTTGCAAAAACAAGTTCATTGGTTATGTTTGACTACACAAGAGATTCTACGTATTTGGAAGCAATATCTAAATAGCTTATTTAATATATATTTTTTTATTAATAAAAGAACGTGTCTTCAACAATACATAATAGTACTACCATATCGAAGTCATACTTATCGAAATCAAAACATTAAAACTTATCAATGACAATATAATTGTGTACCTACTCTGAGTGCAGCAGTAAATTGAGCCTCTGCAGCTTCCATACAGTTCATCGACATTGCATATAAACCTAGTAATGCGTGCAATTGAGGTCTATGACCTTGAAGTAATCTCGGCTGTCGCCTACAAAGCTGACAAGCCTGAGAAATTTCTGCAAGAGCCACACTTTTGTTTCCCATTACAAGTCGACACATAACTATATGCTCTAAAAGCATTAGTTGAAACACTGATAGTATAGGCTTGTTATCAACAACTGCAAAATAAGAAAGAATTAAATTGAACCATATATCAAGCTAACGATAAGCAAGACATGAAAGTTAAAAATTTACTTTTCAACTTTTCAATTTGGGTGAGAGCTTTATCTGTGTATTTCTGTGCTTTGTCCATATATCCAGCTTGCATAGAATGCATAACCGTCACCAAATAAACCAATACATATAGATGATCTTTCGGCATCCATATAAACATATCTCCTATATTTGTGCCTGTGACTACGTCATCAGATGGCCAACTAGGAGACATTAGAGTCTGTATACTCTGTTGTAATTGTTTCAGACAAGGTTTTACACTTTTCACCTATTTTAAACAGAAACAACATATAAATATTGACAAATATCATAGCAATGGATAGTGTACATATCTTTTTTACATTAATAATTATAATATTGATTTTTTTACATTAATAATTATAATATTTCTTTACCTGACCAGCCATGAGATAATGACAAACTTGAAGAACTAAAAAGTATACTTTCAAGTATTCCTTCTGATGTGGACTACCTTGCCAGTTGTCAACATGATGGCCCGCTATACTCAGGAGAGAATGAACCTCTGTGAACTTTTTATCAATCAACAGAAGCATACACCGACTTAGAAGGAAGAGAACTCTGGTGTAACTGGCATTGCTTATGTGGGAATAATCGACACCCACCGCAAGCAAACTGCTTGCTGCAACAAAGTCTTTCTCTGAAGCATGAATTTGCTAGAATTTATAAATCACTATATGAATATATTGCTTCTACAAATGTGAAACTATAAGATAATTCTTCATAAAACTCACTGCAAGCTGGAAAATAAGTCTACAATGCCAGTAGACATTATGCTGGGACAGTTCTATCGCCTTTCTCAATATGGGTTTACTTAAATTCGGCAGTTGTTGTTGCTCATATAATTCCGCGACTATACTGGCAGCTTCAAACTTCACATCATCGAAGGTATTTATGTTTTGACTCAGTCGCCACTGCAGCAATTTCAATTATTATTCACCAACGTGACTCACTCAATAAGCCAGATAAATTTATTATTTGGTATGTTATCGATAGGGTGAGGTTAGAAATAGGAGGGAGATTGTGTACAAGGAAATCGTAGGAATCACAGAGATGCAAAAAAAATATGTGAAAATCGAGTGGAAGGGTACAGGACCGACGTCGATTCCGATGCGCGCAAGTGAAAGAAATTAAAGAAGGATCAACTGACCGCTTGTTCTAAGTGGGATCGCGCCAAATCGATGTTTTTCGTGTGCGTGAGCAGGATATTTCCGAGCTGAAGATGAGTACGCGCTTCGACCCGCGGAGGTGGTTTAAAATTGAAAACCGCCTGCAAACACTGGATGCACGACTTAATGTTGGGCGGGTTGGATATACGGAAATTCTCGGCCAGACCCAACAACGAGAGATACCAAGCGTCTTGAGAAGACGCCATTTTGACATTTCACGTTGTTTCTCACATGAACCTCACTGCCGCAGCTGCTCTCGAAGCAAGAAGGTCGCGATATCGCCACGCACGCGCAGGAATCGCGGCGTCAGGCAAGTATCTAGTACTGAAATTGAATACCGTTATCAACGACTTCCTCAATTTTTTATCAATTCATAACCATTAAAAAATTGTCACTTTTCACAAATTGACATCAGCAAGAAAGATCCAAAATCGATCTAGACAAAAAAATGTATAAACAGAACGTGCAATCAGGACAGTGGAATATGAAACGGCGTTGAAGACAGAGGGCGAATGTTTCGGCCAGCCCCCTCCTGACACTCTCCCATAGGCGCGTTCCGTTACACGCTCGCAAGCGTCATTCTATCTTTGTTGCTCACAGATGTTAAACAAAGATAGAATGACGCTCGCGAGCGTTGAGAGCGTGTAACGGAACACACCCCATATAGCCTGTGTAAAGCCAGTGGCACACGGTGTTTGTTTTCGTGCTGGATTGTTTGCTGATGTAAATACTCTATTTTGATTGGTACATTTCTGAAGATGGATTGAAATGCACCAGTCAAAACATAGTATTTCCAGCAAGCAATCCAACACGAAAATGAGCACCGTATGTCACTGGCTTAATATATGTGGCTACCAGGGGGTACAACTCCCGTCTGGAAAGTGGCACGCTCTATACCTACCGCCCTCTGCAATAGTCTCCGGATGTGGCGGAACTAAACAGATGACGTCATGCGGAGTGGGGATGCGCGCCAATTGAAGTATGAATGACAGACGTTATAGCAAACAATAGCAAGCAACATATGCACGTATACAGTTGTGTGCATTCATATATGCATATGTATATATCATCTTACTATTTTCATAGGATGATGAAAATTAAAAAATGAAGAAACTAAATTATTTGAGGTATCCGGTAACTCGCGCGATACCGTATCCCCACTTCGCATGACGTCACCCGTTCAGTTCGGTCACATCCGGAGACTATCTCAGAGGGTGCGACTAAAAACGGAGGCCAATTTTTATGCTGCGTTCGGAAACACACACTAGGTTTGTTCTTTCGACCTGACCTAGGGCTGCACTGGAACTGTACTAGTTGAAGAAAGTTCAAGATAGTGCAGACCAGTGCAAAGATACATATGGGTCTGAAAAGAACGGGTAAGAGCAAGTTAGAGCAGTGTAAGATGGCGGACAACACTTTCGCACTTATAGCATTTTATGTTTTGTTGAACAATCCTATTTCTTTTAAAAACTGTTTTGTGTTGGATACCCATACAACAAATCCCTTCGAAAAAACGTCCAAGAGCCTTCCCAGGATGTCTTTCGGATATTTTGTGCTGTTTGGATAACATTCTAAATACTTCTTTTATGTCATTCTACATTATATATTTATTATATATTTATCTACATTATATATTTAAATATTTACTTACTGTTTATAGATTTCGTCGTCGGATTATTTCTTCTACGTAATGTCAACTAGGTATACCGATTTTACAGGTTATAAATACAAATTTAAATTTTTTCGGTTAGCTGCCCTGCACTGCTTGCTCCAGACCTAGGGCAGTCAGTTCACTGAACTCGCTGCACTAGTTCAGCCTGCACTGTTCGAAAGAACACATTTTCTTACACTGTTCTGATCGAAAGAACGCATTAGTGCAAACTTCGTGAACTAGTGCAGCCAGTTCACAGTCGAAAGAACAAACCTAATGTGTGCACACTACTAGACGATAACCGTGGAGTGAGCGAAATACAAGAGTGAGATAAAAAGAGAGGGAGAGTACTTGAATGACGTTTCCGAACGCAGCCTTACAAGAGGGAGTTTGTACTCTCTGGTAGCTACTTAATGTCCGCGAACCACCAGATGTCGCTAAGCAACAGTCGGCCCGATCTCTGATCAGCTGTTGTCTCTGGGTCTCAGCGGTGAAGTGTGACTGTGAAAAAGAGTGAATAAACTTTCATAAAAGTTGATAAAAAAATTAAAAAATAATGCCTCGTTTGAATAGCTCCAGACTGTACTTCTGGGTACGACACAAATAAGAAAAAAAGTACACTTTTTTTTACGTACCCAAAGAAAATATAAAATTGTTGCAGACAGCCCTAAGAAAAATTTTATTTTAAAACATAAGCAAGCTATCTGTAAAAAATGTTTTTTATGACATTTTATGGAATAGAAGTATTTATGATAAAGGTTGCTTTCCAACAAGAGACACAAGTCGACACAAGTATCATCCTATCTTTGTTACTCACTAAATGTGGAATAAAGATAGAATGATGTTTGTGTCGACTTGTGACTCTTGTTGGAAAGCAACCAAAGAAGGCAATATTCTTGGTGTATTAAGTTTGGATAATAAATTGTTTGTCATTAGCTAAAATTTCTCAGATATTTGTAATTGATGTTATAATAGATATTACAAAATGTGGAAATTATACAATGTTTTAATGAGATAAAGTAGGTAAAAAAGAATTTTATATGAAATAGTTCATATATCCGAAAATGTATGCTTTATTAAAAAGTTATATACGTTCGAAGATCTATGCAAGCAAAATTGTTCCTTATAATTCGTTATACAGAATCGCAGACTGGACGACGCAGGCGAAAGATACACATAAATTTTAGTTATTGTTTACACGTCTTTTGCCTTATTTAGCCTTTTCTATACTTGTATTTATTAGCAAAACAGTTGTTTTATGAAAATATAATAGAAACAAAAGACCTGAGTGTTGGGAATATGTTCAAATTTACTACTATTTCTAATATATATTAGGAATATTGTAAAAAATTTGACAATTAGAAATTTGTACTGCTGTAGAAAGAAAATTTTCCACAATTATAGCAATTATTAAAAATCTTTGAACGATTATAACTTTGCAATAACATTTTATATGAATATATTATATTATATATTTTATTATATATTATATATTATACGTTTTATTTAATAAATTTTACTGATTATGCTAAATTATATATTTTATATTTACCTCAATAAAAAATAATTTAAACAATTATCTCTCTATATAAAAATTCTAATCATAAAATTATTACTGCGCATATTGATAAAAATTAAATGTAAATTTACTCTGATAGCACAGAAATTTAAAAAGAAGTCATTCGTATGTCACCAATTTTGAGTTCGTGTTTTTAGGTGCAAAAGAATTTCTTTTTCTGAAAAGTTCAGAAAAAAGATTTTTTGTGTCTGAAAATGAATTTATAATTAATGACATACGAGTGAAAATTCCTTTTATACTCTGTTCTATCTGGGTATATATTTATTTTCATACTATTTGAAAATTGTATATGTAACAAAGTTTATATATTGCTAAGATTACTAATTGTTCAATAATAATTATTAAATATATACTATTATATTGACTTTATGGAATTATTAAAATATGCGATGTGGTCTATATTATTCTATCCTTATTGTTCGCCGAACATCAAACAAGGATAGTCATCGTATAACTATGGATGCTTTCCAACAAGAGACAAAAGTCGATACAACTATTAATCTATCTTTCTAATGCCCAATTTCTTCACCTCCGGTTAACTTTATCTGCCAGTTATTCTATTGACCAATCATATTTATGGTTGGCAAGATTAACCAATCACGGTTGACATTTATCCGACAAATAGTTAATCGGAGGTGAAGAAATTGGACGTTAATGTTCTACACTTAGGCTGCGTTCGGAAACGTCACTCGAGTACTCTTTCTCTCTTTTTATCTCACTCTTGTATCTTGCTCACTCTAATGTGACAGGTACACTTGGGTGATATTTCCGAACGCAGCCTTAGTGAGTAACAAAGATAGGATGATATTTGTGTCAACTTGTTTCTTGTTCGAAAGCAACCTATATATATATATGATCGGACCGACCGTTGCCAGCGCCACACGGACATTACGTAGCCACCTGAACTAACGATGTACAGTGGGTTGGTTTCGGCTAATTTCGATCGGACTCGGTGTCGCTCGGCTCGCACCTGCTAGGCCCCCCCGCGGATCATCTGGCAAGCAGTGAACAGTTTTAAATTACGCGAGTTTGAGCGCGGGAGCGGGCGTGTGAACTCGTCGATCCTCTTGTTTCTCCTCTGCGGCGTTGCGATGTCTTCCGGTTGGTGCGTGCTCGCATTCCTCTTCTGTCTGTTGGCACGCGGATTCGCGCTCGAAAATGTCACCGACGTTCTAGAGCAAACGCATGCGGAGAACGCGTTAGCGAAGCTGGTAAAAATGTTCTCCAAACCGGGCGCGTTTAAACGAGTAAGTTAGACTCGTTGATAAGAACGAAGGGAGACTTTCACCACAAATTCTGATTAATAACTGTAAAAACACCAATTTACTGTTGATACAATTTACAGTTGTATAATTTGTCGTCCAACTATAAGAAAAATTGTCAATTTCTATTGCTGGATAATAATAAAATAAAACGAGTAACACTTGACTCCGATGAGGCAATTTTGAATCGTCAATTGAACTAATTAGAGTTTAGTGAAAGTTAAAGCCTAACATTTCGAGTGTCATTCACGTAGTAGAATTTATTTTTAAGATTCATTTCCTGGTACTAAATTTAAACATATTTTATGATGTATCCTATCTTTATCAAACAAATAAATCCGTATCTTTTTACGCACTTGATATAAGTTATGACATCTTGCATACTCTCCGTTCTCCATTATTTCACGAGATGAGATTACAAATGCAGATGTATGTTGCATCAGAAGAAGAATACCTGGCACTTTATGCGAAAGTGAAGATCGTTCAATAGTCTCACTTGACTCGAATTCACGACTCCAAACAGATCATTTTTTTTCGCCTGTGTGATGCAAGTCAAGTGCGTTTACGCGTATTACATATGGAGAAAGTTTTCAGGTCAGTCGCGACTGTAAATACAATGTCACATATATGAATCAACTGGAAACTCGCATCTAATTCAAAGTTTCAATCTGACACTCGAAACAAGTTTCAAGTCGCGTTTAGTAACAACTTTCTAAGATTTATTTATTCATTGATTTATTTAAATGTCTTATAGATATTTTTGCTAAGTGGAAACTTCAAATCCATGGTTATCAGCTCGTGATGGCTTACTTTAAAAGTTGCGAGAAAGCAGGAAATAAATTTTTGAGGTAAGAGGAACGTTTAAATTGCGATACATAATGTATATATTTTTTCAGATTGATGCGATTCTCGGCGAGAATTCCATTGAGACATCCTTCATGAGCTGTCCCATGGGCGACGAGGGTTTGGAGTGCCGAAGGGCGGAGGCTCGCCGATCAGTCGACTGTCCACGAGGTAATCCCCGCGGTGTATATGCTCCGGAGAGCAACCGGACAGCAGATCAAATGTCTAACCGCGTTGTGCATACACGACGCGACACCGTTAGCGAACTTCCTCGCTGTTACGAAAAGCATCACTCAACTCGCGCTTTGACAATAGAGATGCTGACCTTGGCAATAGCCGCTCCCAGATGACTATGTTCACCGAACGACTATGTTCATGCGGTGTTTACTCCGGAATGCAACGCCACGTTAGCTCGCGCTGCATTAGACGACACGATGAGCGTATTTCCTCGAAATTCGCTTTATAAATCCGCTCTTCAATGGCTTTTGCATTGATCGTGTTTGAATTTTCTTTCTTAATAAGCCGTTCTGATGAAGATACTTGTAAATTGGTACGCGTTGCGTGTGTGTTGCAACATGCATAACACACGCGAAACGCAACACAACGATACGGACAGGAGAAAGTAATATAGCGAGAGAGTACCGAGAAGCAAATTACTCACATGTCGATTTCTAGTAGAACATCCGGATATTATTCTCTGGAAAACGCACAACACGTTGATAGCGTAATGTAGACTATGAAGAGAGAGATGAGTGTTACGCAGAGAACTCTCAGGTCCGTCTCAATAATCTAATATTAATATTTGAAACAGATATTAATACTCTATGACTAATATACTTGAATTTATAATATTAATGTTTAATAGTATGTTAATTACTTCAAATTTGTCTCACTTAACAAATAGAAAATCACAAGTGTATTCGCAATATCGCAATATTTTAATATTACACAATTTTACATAAAATCATAAAATTTCGAAGAGAAATATCAAACGAACATTACAATAGCGACACGTCAGATCACGTCCCTTATATAAATCCCATTGCAGGCGACTGCTTCTGCAACAACTGCGCTGTCGTTGGGCCGGACTTGTGGGCTTCCTGCTGCCGTGAAAGCCTGAGATGCTGCTCTCATCTCGCAGCGGCCTGTCGAACGTGCGATCATCCGACGCTGTATCCCTTCTGCGCCAAGCACTTCAAGAAATGCCTAACGGAGTACAACGAGAAGAAGCAGAATTAGCGGGCCAGGTCGAGGCCACGACTGTGATAATCGGTTTACTAAGGGCCGATTTCTCCAATTTCTTAGTAAACTAATAGCTAAATCATATCCTTTTGTCTAATTTAAAGGAAAAACAAAGACAGACATATGATTTAACTATTAGTTAACTTACCAAGAGGTTGAACAAATCAGCTCTAATGATAGTCACCATGATCGATGATCTTGTTATTACGAAAGCACCAAGGCTTATATTATTGTTACTTGTTCACGGCGCGATAATCCGCAGTGCGAATTTAGAAAGATGAGAGTATTTTCTTCGATTGCACGCACAAAAAGTAAAGTTGTCTTTATTATTTAATTAAATTATTAATAATTATTAATGTTGGTATATTATTTCTCTTTTGTAATAGAAAATGATTAATTTTCATTTTTTTCTATTTCTAAAAATCGTCCATTTAAATCTCGCATACTTGAGTATGTATGTTGTCTCGTAACGTTTTAAATCTGAATTTTCGTTTAATCTATTCGAACGGAACCTTGACTCTAAATAGGCTACTTTTATCTTTTTAGATTAGTCAAATGTCGCACTGTGTGATCATGTTCTGTCGTCAGAATGTAATCGCAAATACTCTAAGCAAATGCAATCATCAACGTTTTTTATACAAGTAAATCTGTGAGTATACGAGTTCATACAGCATTTGGTTTCTTTTTTTTTCATGTTAGCAGAATATATCGAACGATTAACGAAACTTACCGATAAAAATCTCGCTCTGATACATTTCAAATGCATATAACGAGAACGTTGATTACTTATAAAAGATAAATAAACATCACCTCTTAATACAATCATTGATAAGCTTTATTCATATAGTTTCCAGAGTATTCGGTAATCTTGTATTTATCCACTAATTCTATAAATTGTAGGGACAGAGCTGTTTGTTTAGATAGACACTTCAAGATCAATGTACGAATTTTGGCAAAAAATATACGCAAGTTTTTCGTCGTGACGAGAAATTAAAAAGAAAAAAATATGCGCGTGTCACACAGTCTTCTTTTTGATGTGCCGAGTATCCGTCCAAAGCTTCAACGATTTTGTTTTTGTGACGATAAAAACGTTCATGTCCCCGTGGAGCGCGCGCGGCCAGTCAATTTTCTTTTCTGCATTTGTTTTCTCCTCTTTTCGTAAAGCTTCTCGAAATTCCATAGTCCCGCTGAATTTTTGTTCGCCATTTCTCATTTCTGTCATGTAGCCAAATGGGGCCGTTTACGTGTTTTCAGGATATAAAATTCTCCCACACATACGAGAGAAAGAGAGAGTACGCTTAATCGCTAACAGCACCACACAAAGATGTGAAAGACGAGGCTGGAACAAAAAAAAAAAGGATAGGAGGAAATGTTTGTTCTCTTTTTTTTCCCACGAGAAACGAGACGCAATCTAATTACCGAATAAGACGCAATTAATTTATCCGTGATTGTTAATGACGACGATAATAACAACGATTTGCTCTCAACCGAATCGACACGGTCAGTTCCAAAAGTCGTGTATACATGTGGTACACTTGCGTCGTTAGAGAGAGAATTTCAAAGAGGGAGAGAAAGCACCGAGAGTATCGCCATTCACAGTCAGAAGGTCGAAATTAAATTGAAGTCCCAAAATGTTCGATTCTTTCCCATTATGTAAGATCGATAATGTTGGTAGTAGTGCCCCGATGATCGGTAATTAGTCGACGACATTATTATTCTGTTTTCTCTTACACAAAAAACACAGATCTTGATCTATTATGCGATCGTAGACTTATTACGGTGTACATGTATATCAAGTACGAGTTCAAAATCTATCACGTAGTACAAAGAGATAATTATGCTATTTTAGTTTATTAAGTTGTATCATATACCAAGAAATATCAAGACTACAGTACTATATATTTTAATTGATTCGGAAATGTATGATCAAGATCGGTTAGCCCAGAATCAATAAAATCAGACTATTAGTGGGGAGAGACAGAGAAAGAAAAAGAGAAAGAGAGAAAAAGAGAGAGAGAGACATAGAGGAGCGGGAGGAACCGGTAATAGTATTGTTGGGACAAGTGCCAGATGCCTTTAACTCGTTTAGGTGCAGACTTTTTTCCAGAGGACGTTGTAAAAATTTGGCGGTGTCGCCGTTTTTTTGTGACAAAATTCGAAAGAACCTCGATTATCTCCTAGTAAGATCTTTAAATACTTTTACATTAAAAGTGACATGAAATCAATCGCGTCGCGTTAACTCGAATCAATTGACACCGTTGCTGGTCCGAAAGTTCTCGCGTTAACGCCGAAAACTCCGAAGTCATTGAGTCGCGCGTGCATGTCTCGATATCTGAATCGCGACCAAATCCGATACACGCAAGCTGTAAACGTGAGTTACGTGTGAGAGAAATTCGTATTTTGTGCGCGAATGACACTCGTGTCACTCCATTATAAATTCGCCGATACATTCCACCGTGTACCGACAGAGAAAGAGAAAAAGATTGCTATTATCACTCCCACATTCGCTTTCTTGCTAATTACTAACACACCCTCACACTCAAACGTACACATACACGCCATGACACGCACGCGTACACATATAACACACACACACACGCGCACACTCAATCTTACAGATCGTTCTTCGTCTCCTTACGTTACTACGCAACTCTATCTTGCGTGAAATTTTTCTTAAAAATACAGTTCGAAGAAAATAAAGATATACACATAGTACAGGTACTGCCGGGTGGTCGCAAAAAACACGTTGAAACCAGCGGCAAAGATCGGCTTAACCACCTAACGAGAGCCTAAAAAAAAAAAAAAAGATTCTTTCATCAACGATTTCGTCACTTCGTGTCGCACTCGTCTCTCCTCCTTCTTCTCCTCCTCCTCCTCCTCCTCCTCCCCCCTGTCCCACCTCATTCTTCGCGATCACACAGCTATTTTATCGTTAATCAACCGATTCGTAGACGTGTTTCAACACTTATTATCTGGTTTAATTAGTGCCTTGTAGATATTTATTTGGTTCTTTATATCATATCGTATAATAATAATTCAAACGATTGTTCTCGTTAGTTATTTCGTACCCGAGTTATTAATATGCTTGTAGACACGATTCGATTATCATTTACGTTTATTTACTATTTCGGTGGACAATGAGGAGAAACAATAACGCATACATGCTGTTACATGTAGGAAGAAAATAAACAACAATTCCGTCAGTCTCCATTGAGGGGAGTACCGTATACGCGGTCGATATTGATCTTTTTTTCTTTTTTCTCTTTTAAACGACGCTTGCGTACTCAAACTAATTATTGTGTTAAGTCATTCGGGGATTGACAATAAAACCTTAAATCCTTTGGATATAACAATGATGTCTCGCATACACACACACATGTGAATTGACATATATTCACAACGATTATAACCACTCTTTACACAATACTATACGAAGTAATTTCTCGAACGCGTATCAATTTGAGCTTCACCACGCGCCATCGTCAATATCGATTGGCGTAAGTTATTTAAAATGTTCATAAGGTGCACAGAAAAAGAGAGAGAGAGAGAGAGAGCGAGGGCCGTGACCAACCGCACGACACTCGAAAACGACACTCCGAGAGTCCCTTTTTTTTCAATAGATACATAATAAACACAGAGGAGCAGGAGAGTCTCTGTATTCCTTTTATCATACGTCCACGCACTATGACATCCGCGCGTTTAATTGTTCGTTCTCTTAAATGCGTCCGGTTACGTTTTCCAGTTATGTGGATGAGCCCTCGGTGGTGCTTGGTTGCCTTGCGCCTGAGACGCTTGCGACGGTATCATGTCAAGCAGATATTGACGTTGAAGATCTGCCGCTTGTCGCTGCAGCTCAACGAGACCTTTGCCACCGGCAGCCTGCGCCATCGCCAATTGATAGGGATACAATATCGAAGTGAACGGCGGCATCATGTGAGCAGGAAGAGGCTGATGCGGCGGTATACCCGGCACTGGATTTTTCGCGAGTTCTGAAACATTTTTTACGCGATTAAAACATTCATCTTTTTATAATTAGACAACTGAGTTTACTTAAAAATTTTATTTCACAATTGGAACAGGACATTATAAATTGTCTAGTTCTTCAAATCATATGTGCATATTTTTTCGAAATCAAAGTCTTCTATATGATAGAATTTTACTTCACATTTTTCTCGCCACGTAGAATCATCTTTTTCTCTTCGTCGATATCACTCTTGCATCACTAATCATGAGTTAAGTATGGGGGGTCAGAAATAGAGGAAATTATGCAGGAATGAGTGCGTAGATAGTATGTGAGAACAAAACAAGGTGTTAGGTAGAAAAGTAAGATTCAGGACAGAAAAAGTACATGGATAGTAGAAATTATAGCGTTGCAAGAAACGAGTAGTTAGGATAGTGTATGTAAAGCAGAGAAAATTATTGATAGAGGAAACGTATATAATTGATAATAGAAGATTTAAGTACACAAAGGATAGAGGTAATAAAAAATGAATAAGGATCCACAAAGGACAATGTTATCAATTTGTATACAAATTCGTTATGTTCCTAAAATTCCGATTTAATATCGTCTGTTTTTAGTTTACATAGAATAAGAAAGGATAGGATTTAATCGTAATAATGTAAGAGATAATAAGTTTTATTTTATTTGTAACAAAGTTCGTAGAACATAAAAGATAAAGAAAATAAGAGAAAAATAAGGAGAAGAATAATTACATTTTCGGAAGAAAAGCTTGATTATAAAATAAGAAGCCAAAATACAGGAAAATACAAAAAAAAAGAATGACGAAAACTGATGAGACAGGTGCTGTACAAGTAAGAAAATTGAAGTGCAAAGAATAAGAGGAAAGTTACAGGATATGGAAAATTCCTTCTTGACGATGTAAACTGAAGGAAACATATAGGAAGTGAATAAAAAGACAGTGGAATTACTTCATGGAATTAATAGCAGGTATGGAGTAGAGTAATAAAACTAACAAGATATGGGAAAAAATTGGGAAAAAGATGAAGAGGCAATAAGGAAAGTGATGAAGAGATCGTATAGGGAAGATAAAGGGATAGATGTGTACAGCTGAAAAGAAGGATAAAATCTGGAATATTGTATATGAAGGCGATATAATACAGGCGTTGAATAAAATAGGGTAGTGTAATTAGAGATGACAGATAAAGAAAAGATGAAGGTAGTGTAAAGGGTATGTGAAAATTAAAAAAATTGTGAGAAGAGATTACAAGAGTAGTATAATTGTAAACAAAGTCTCTTTCTTGGCTATATAAGCTGAAGGAAAATATACTCATAGAATCTTGAGATGTGCGCAACGCTGCTTACCTCTTAGCAACTGTTGCTGCAAAGCCGCTGCAGCTGCTGCATGGTGCGGGCTGAATTTTCCACTTTCAGCCAGTTTTACTAGAGGATGCTCTTGCATCTTTGGCGCCGGCGGTGTTGGCGTCAACGTCGGTGCCGGAGGTGGTACCTGCGGTAAAGGTGCGGGTGGTGTGGCTACTCTTCTCGTGGGAGTGGCTGCTTTAGGAACTGGTTTCGGGGCAGGGGGATCCGGACTTGGACACCCCGCTTGTGCTAGCCTTTGCTCTATCTCTTGTTCCTGCTGCAACGCTTTCACGAAAGCAGTCTTTAATCTGTAATACCGTGTAATGTGATCCATTAGAAAGGAATATTAACAAGAATTAATAATGGTTATCAGTAGGTAATATCGTTTGAATTTTCACAAAGCAATAATTAATAAATATCGCAAAAACGCTTTCAACAAAGCTAATGCTTTCTTCTTCCGTTATGATTTGTATTATGCATGTGTGATCATCATGTAATATACAAATGATTACATTATTCTAAAATGATTGTATCACCTAGATATATACTGTTTAATATATACACGAAAACTTACCGATTAGTGTGTTCCGCTTTCAGTGCTTTCTTCACGTTAGTCGTCACGCAATGTTCGCATATAACTCTCGGATCGCGACCCGCTGCGGGCCGTTGGAAGGTCGCATGCTGTCCTCTAGGACTGTCCTTATTACCTCCAGGTAGGTTTTTCTCCCATTTCCATACGGGTGTGAAATCTGTCTTGCATTGTGAACATTCGAACGGCTCGGGAGGCGGCGGAACAGCCGGCTCCTTTGTAATAAAGTCCACCACATGCTCCAAACCGACCAGATATATGAACTCCGTGTTGGAGGGATTTGGTACAAAATGCATCTCCGGAGGCGGCGGTTTTGGCGGTGGTATTTGCAGTAGTGTTTTTTCAAGCTGCTTCCTTAAGGCTAATTTGGCGGCTGCTTGACGTTGAGCAGGTGTCTGATTATCCTCCCGTTGTCGCTCCTGGATTTGTTGAAGAGACAACAGAATATGAATAAGTCAATCGATATGTTAGGAAGAACATCAATATACTTGAAAGAACAAACGTTCTAAGTTCTAAACAAAACAAAAAATGTTAACATACAATATAAGAATATCTTATTTAAACGAACAGAATTTCGTCATCGCAAGTTTGGCTATATTGCGTGTTAACTTGCAATATATGCATCAAAAGAGGATAATAAGCAGACTATTTCTTTGCATATTATTTTATACATTATTGAAACAAAGAATAAAAAAATTGAAAATTGCTAAAAATGAGAATAAAGTGAGGACAGAAGACAAAGCTCAAACAGAATTGAAACGTCATCAGGTCTGCATGATGATCAACATAACAGAGGAAAGAAATTGATTAATATTAAAAGAAGATTCACAGATGGAAAGACATTGCATATTGATCGAGGAGTGAATATACCTGTTCTGAATTCACAGGCGTGCTTAAGGATGCGGTGGTTTTATTTTCCTGCGATCCAACAAGCAGCTTTGTGTTTAGAAAAATATAATGAGTTACATATGTTGCTTATAATCAAATAATTAATCGAGACTTTCACCGCTACTTGTAGTATTGCATAGTAATGCACATTAGCGGTGAAAGCGTTTGCGTGTATATAAGGTGGCTCTTTAAAATTCTTAGATAAAGAATACTCAATGATATACAATTTTATTAACCCATTCATCGAATTGTCTCGTTTCTATGTAAAATACGGCCGATATAATCAATAGTTACTTATTTTCGTAACACAACCAATAATGAAAGAACGAGACATCCCAACGATGATATGTAATAAATTTGCATCAAGAATAGCGTTTCAAAATTGGAAATACTTGGTATCTAAAGAATCAATAATCGAAGACGAGACTCAAGATAAAGTTTGCATGAATGGAAGTTTATAGAAGAGTGAGAAGAAACAAGGAGAAAAGAAAAAAGATAACGTGTGATCTACTATACCTTACTTACTTGATGTGCGGGGGCTGGTGTCGGATCCTTTGTGGATCTTTCCGTTCTGTCCGCCGGTGCATGATAACTCGACACATTCGGCGTCGTGCTGGGCGGTCTACCTCTAGGATGAGGTGGCTGCGGTATCACCATGTTCGGAGGTATCCCTGTACTCGAAATAGTCGCATTTCGACCCGCAGTTGGCGGCAATACCATGCCTGGTGGCGGAGCATGCAAACTGCTACTTCTGCTAGGTGCTGGCTGGCCTCTGAGTAACGGCGGCGGCGCTTTCCCCGTTCTGTGACTGAAAGACGATATTTCGATTACAGTTTGGTATGTATGGCAGTGTACAAAAATTGTTCAACAGGGAAAAAGAAAATATTACTGCGCAGTAACATCTTCTTTCTTCATTTCAAGTGCATTAATTGTGTTATTCTCTCTCTTACTGGCTCCTTGAAGCGATAGAAACTCGCTGAACGTGCTACTCGACGATCAGTTATGTTGTTTGTTACCTGTGAGGCGTCTGCTGTACTGCCGTCACCGGTGGTGGCAATTTGCTAGGAGCCTTGGGCACTGCGATGTTCTCCTTTAGTTGTTGAGACTGACGCAGCTTCTTCAACAGCACCAGCTTCATCTCCTCAGACTTGAGCTCCTCTTTCAACTTCCGCAACATTCTTTCGCGTTCGGCCAACTCGTCGCTCGACAGTTCCTTGATAGGCAGCAGAGGAGGCAGCTCACCTGTTTGCCACAGTCACTCTGAGTACAATGAGACCAAAATAAAACAGCACATTGAAATAAACAGAATTGTAACAACCTTCCTCGCTATCCGACGCGTTCCCATTCAAGTATCCATTCATTCTAGGTTCATCGGGACTCTCAGCATAGCTTCTCTCTATTCTAGGTCTAAGACTACGTCTTGTCTTGCGGTCTTCCCCTGACTTGGGGGCCAAGATGCCACGAGCTGCATTCTGTATGTTACGAGCCTCTGGCATGTTGTTCTCCAGATTGGGGCTAGTGGGAATGTGAATGCCCAAATCCAACGGGACAACGACGTCTCCAGAATTTACAGAAACAGATGGAGAATTGCGTCTGCCACTGCTGCTAAAAATACACGCAACAATAAGACATTAAGATCTGCAACGCAATGTGAACATTTTGCACAGCTATTTGTACATTAATTTCAATCGCTGAGAAAGAAACTCACTTGATCTGTTCTTTTTAGCTGCACTGCTGAACTAGTGCAATAAGTTAAAATGAGGCAAGTATATTTTTTCTCACTCTAACTTATTAACTAGTTCAGCAATGCAGCTAAAAAGAACATCTCGGGCATAAAACTTAATATTCATGTATGCCAAGTCAAGTAATGACAACCTATTTCTTTGTCTATTATAGAGCGATAACGAGTGACACCGATAAGAAATTCGCTCGAATAAAAGACAGCATTATCGTGAATTACCATTATGTTCTATTTCAAGCGTTCTGTGAACACAGCATAATATTCACGTGAAATTCCAGCGAAACAAAATCATGCGCCTACGCTGTGGCTAATGCACGCGTGAACTTGGCACGGCTCGCCCGTGAATTCGTCAGGAAGTGTACGCGGGGATCACGAACAGCAGCTGTCGAGTCCCATTAACCTCAAATATGACGTGAAAAGTGCACTATTACCTGACACTCAGATCCACCACTGCATCCCCGTCCAAATCCATGGCCTCCATTCTTTCGAACTCGGTCACTCTGCAATCACAAGAGGCACAGGATGAGAGAGGGGCCGGGATCAACAGGCACGAGGGACCTCGCACGATATCCTCGTTTGAACGCGCGCGCCAAGCCGGGAAAGCCGTCGCGACAATACAGCGGTTACGCGCGTGGAAGTGCACGCTCTCGTCGCCGGGGGAATATTCACGATGGGTTATTACACTTCTCCTACGTGTATTCTGTGCAATGTGCTCGGCGCCGTATCGTTTACTCACGCCGGTGGCTCACGAACGACGCCCGGCTTCGTTCCCGCGAAAGACCGCCCTGCGAAGCAGCCCGATTATCGGCGGTTACTGGCTGAGCGGCATAAACGCGACATCTCGGAACTCGAGCGAAACGCGAAGAACAGTCCGCCGACGCGACGCGTGCGGAATCGAAGAGTATCCTCGACGGAAGACGCCTCTGAATTGAAAGGCGTGGGGGGACAGGGGCGAAAGAAGAGTGACGGTGGGGCAGGCGGAAGAGGGGAGAGGTGAGTATTCAGAAGAGAGATAGAAGGAGAAAGAGTGAGAGAGCGAGAGAGAGAGAAAGAGCGAGCAAGCGATCGGCCAATACCTGCGGAAGTAACTGTCCTAACCTAACTTTCACGAATTCGCCAGGCGATTGCAGGACCGTCAGCGGTACGGCGCAAGACTCGGCGATTTCCGGGAATGCGACTGACGAAATGGGACAGGGTCGCCGCCGCCGACAACGACGACGACGACGACGGCCGCGTCGTCGTCGTCACGTTGTGTTCAAACAACACCACCTCCACTGCCACCAGCAGCACGAGGAAGAGAACGAACACGACACACGATGCTCTTCGCGCCCCGCACGCGCGCGGCCGCTGACACGGTCTCGGTGAGGTGCGCCAGCAGTAGCCCCGAGGAGCCCCGCAATCAAAGAATTAACGTTTGATACTTCGGAAGTGGCGTCCCGACACAATGGCAGCTAAGCGTAGCGGTACAAGAGACCCGTAGTGGGTACCCGTAGCTGCTCGGGAGGGGGTATGGGGGATAAGCGCGGAGGAGCGAGGAGGGCCGCCACGGGGAGCAAGGGGTGCCGCGCGCGCGGGGAGAGGAATGGGTCGCACATTAATTATTTCTCCTCTCACCCCTACCGCGCGCAGCGCGTACACATACACACGCCAGTAGTCGTGTTCACCCATACACACGGCCGCATCGGGAACGGACTAGAAACGAATCTCTCTCTCCTCCCTGTTCTTTTTGTATATTTTATATATATATATATATATATATATATATATATAGTGTGTGTGTGTGTGTGTGTAGAAAGAAGGGGGAAGGGGGACAAGCGAGATCGGTTTTTACGTGCTGGACTATTGCTCTTATTTTCTCCCTCTCGCGCGTTTCTCGCGGATTTTCCCGAATTTCGTCTCTCCGCGCGATGTTCCCTCTCCCGCGGCCGCCCTCCCAGTCGCTCGCTCGCCCTTATGCCCTACGGGAAATCGATTTTTCGACGGCAGGGTCGGTCCCCACTGCCGGCCGCCGCGGCCGCCGCCGGCGGCGGCGGCGGCGGCGGTGGCACGACACGGAGAGCTCGTCGCGACGATGTTTTCACAAGGCGATTCGGCGGCGGTTTCGCGCACGCATCTCATCTCATCTCGCGGGCGCGAATGATCATCTCGCGGCGCCGGAGGAGGAGAAGAAGTGCCGTCGTGCACGCGATCTCCCTCCATCTCTATCCACCGTGTATCTAAGACCCGACGCCTCTGCGAAATATACGACTGCGAAAGAGTCGGACAGAAAAATATCGGAAGCGAGAGTTCGCTGGGCTGGGAATCGAACCCGGGAGCTTTCGCTTGCCGGGCGACTGCTCTAAACCAATTAAGCTCCCCAAGCTCCACACCTCGACATATGTGTGTGTGTATAGATATATATTTCGTCCTTTTAATTGTTACGTTCAGATATTTATTTCAGATATTTATTTCACGTTTGGATATCTATGTAGTTCAATTTCTTACACAATTAGGCTAATATTACATATGTCGTACAAGTTTGCCGGACGTCCCAATTGGCTATCAAATAAAGAATTTCTATCTGAAGTACCTAAAGGAAAAGTTAGGAAAGACCTTAAGAGAACTCCAACCATCAATCAATCGACACGCCCGACAATACTTGTCATATGATACATGTAATCTTGGAACGTAATGAAGCACTTTAAATGAGACGCGTGATAAAGAAATTGCCATTTTTGGTGCACGTGCGATTTATAAGCCACTGAACAAGCGAGCGAGCGAGCAGAAGAGAGAGAGAGAGAGAGAGAGAGAGAGAGAGAGAGAGAGAGAGAGAGAGAGAGAGAGAGAG